GTCTATAAATTATTATACATGAACTCCTAATAAACACAGTATTATAAAAGCAAACTTTTCATAACACTGTGTTGAATTGACATAATATGACACTACATTTCCAAATACAGCAGTTGGTTAAGTATTGACTAAATACTATTTAATCATGGGGATTGATATATTTATCGAATTAATAAATAAATCAAAATACGTATTGCCGAGTAGTCGTTATTAAAGATAATATTTGTTATATCTCAAATGTAATTATTGTTATTCTAATAATTTACTATAGGTAGAGTAACATCAATCACGAGTATTTTTTCAAACATTTAAGTAACAACAATGTGTATCTATTTGTATATATTTAAATACAATTTGAGTAGATACTGAAATTTAAAAGTAAAATTTAGCGATGAGAACAAGTAAGTTTACGACTTACGCCATTTACCTATATTGTTTTATATTATAATTGGGCCATTACAAGAAATTGACATCAACTCATATAATTATAAGGGTTTGTGTCCAAAATGATAACAAAATATAATTTGAGATAAAAATCTTTTAGCCTAACTATAGAACACTAATATAATTTCTCCATCGTTAAAAGCCATTGTAAAAAACTGTCTTTCTTCATTGTTGTTACACCTAATACTAATGGAATTCAAACTGATTAAAAATATTTTTTTTTTAAAACAATACAAAAAAACCGTTGAAGTTTCTCTACTGTATAGTATGCCTCGCATTGAGTTTGTCACTGATGTGTTTAATTTTAATTAATTGATAAATCATTGTACATAAAAAAAGATTGCTATACATAATTTATTTTTCTATTAGTAATATAGCACATTGAACTCATTATTTTCAAAAAACAAATTGTATTTATACTATAATTATTATAATATTATTCATATCTTAATTGGTAAATTTTCCAAACTAACTAAATAAATAAACAAGTTATACCTCCGAATAGTTCGTAAAATAGACTGTGGTACAATTATAGTGTTTCACAAAAACCTAATAAACATGTCAATTTCGCTTAGTTTCTCATGTGTCAAATATATTATAGATTTTAAGTTTTCGAATGAAGCTTCAATTCATATATTATAGTTGTTTATATATGGCCTGTAATCAACAAAAATAAAAAAGTTTTGTTTCTTACCAGATGTCCAGATGTAGTTAAGAATGTTAAGATTACTCTCTAAACTTTTCAGGTATCTTTTGAATTATTCATCAAAATCGGTTGAATAGTTTTTGAGTCTTTAAACCACAACTTAACACACATTGCCTTTTATATATTATAGGTATGCAAGATGCCAAGATCTGGAAAACTATCATCACATTTGAAGATTATTTGTAGCTGATAACTGTGTAGCATATTATTATGTAAACCTATATTTGTCGTTTATCGTTTGAACTGCTTACAAAAAAAAACTTATCATAAACATTTTCAATAATTTTAAAGAAGCTATAAACCAAAAGCCACTTTTTAATAAAACTAATAAATAAATAAATCTATTCTTGTTTCCTCACTGAATTTGAAGTAAAATTATCGACTTTGTATGCGACATCTCATAATTTCCACCACAGAATTTTAGTTTCATGAAATGTCTTTTATAATAACAAATATAATTATTCACGTCTTCTGGCTGCTTGTTTAAGAAGACTACCCACTTTCATTTTAACTTCGCATGTAGCAGCTGTGCTCCTTTTAGTATAACTATATAGCTCACAGCTGTGATAAAAAAATACTTCATTATAATATAATATAGGTTCACTATGTTATAGATAAATAATTGTTATAAAATGATGAAGTAATATATTCGATTATTATGTCGTGAAAGGTTCGGAATAGTATTGAAAACGTAAATATCTACTACACAAATAACTAATAAATTACATTAATAAACACGTTTGTAATGAACCTACATATAAATACAATGTAAAATATAATTTTGTACTAAGTATGTAGCTACCAAAATATTGCACGTAAGCGCTAGCACGTACTTCTTTTAAATTCACTAAAAATAAAAATATCCTAATATAATACCATAAAAGATGAAAAAGTTTTACATCAACATCATTCGTTGATTGTATAATATCATTTTACATTAGATGTCAAAGGAATTTTTTTTTTGTAAAAACAAACGCAAAAGAACCAAATGGCTATACCGAGTGGCGAGTTAAACTAATTATGTAGTGTTTTATAAACTGATTATAATGTAAAAACAAACTCGTAAGGAAAACAGACTACCTACTGGATTTAAAACGTGAAAACGAAATAACGACGTCAATTAAAACCTTTAGTATACTCGTGTATTATTGTATTAGGCTTTATATATTATGGTGAATAATACTGAATGTAATAAAAAATTGTACTCTAGTGGCGTTCGATGTGGTGACATAGTGACATAATAATATCATTAATATTATGTTTATATTGTAACTTTCTAAAGTTAAATTATGTATTTAATAACATTTTAAAAATATAGACATTTGTTATTTTTATTTCCTTTTTCTTATCGACTATCGTATTATTTGCTTTACCTAACCAAGATTTATTCAAATATAATTTAACTAATGGTTCCGGCTGCGGGAGATTGTATAGATCAATAAGTCGAGTGCTCAAAATCTATTTCATATTACAATCATCTGATTATCTTAGAACGACAAATACTATACATATTTTTATATGCCAATTATTAATGAACTCAATTTTTTTAATAGTGGTGCCTCTGATATAATAATAATATTTTTCTTATAATGTATGTTTGTTTTTAAATTTAAATTTTTTTACTAAAATATTATAAATTCAATACAGATATTATGTCTTTCTTTTCAAATAAAAAGAGAAAATTCTCATAATACATTATAAATGCTAATACAATATTGGTTCGTTCAAAAAATTCAAACAAACGTTTACAATATAATCAGGACAAATAAATTGAAATAAATAAACACAAAATGGTAAATGCTAATAGTTAATATCCAATTTATAATTAGGTACCTACCACAAAATTATTTAATATCTGAGTGGAAAATTAAATGTTTACCTACTAAAAGATATTCTAAGGTTAAAGTTAAATTAAAATAACTCGACTTCGTTGAGTCTTAGTCAAGGGTAACATAGATAAAGTCAATGAGACCTATTTTAGCTATTTGCAATATATCTTTGTGTGTGTGTGTGTGTGTGTGTGTGTCTAATATTTAATTTCGTCCAAATTTTAACTTATACAATATCTATAAAAAAAACTGTGCTTATATTTTATTTTGATTTTTTGGTTACGATATGCAATGCAAACCTTGTTTTAAATTTTCAACCTTGAATATAAAAACTAAAGATTTTATATATTTTTAGCAACAAAATATTTTTCAAAAATTTTTGTCTTGATGAATTTTGTCAAATTTTAACTTTAAATGCTTTTTAAAAAATATCGTGTATTTTTAATATTTTTCAACTTATGAGAAACCTTGTAGTACATTTTTAAATTTTTTTTTATTGAAAATAATTAATACAATCGAAATTTTCCTTGTCAATAAATGACTCAAAAACAGTCAAAATATTTTTAAAATTGCACGTTGTATAAATCTCTAAATTCGGTGAAAATGTCAAGTATCTATCTATGGTAATTTCTTACAGCACTAAGTATTTCATTAGTTACACCAAAAATCAAACAAAATTCGTCGAAAACTGGATTTGGGTAAAAATCTCCATTTTCCCTTGATTTTATTTTTGTTTTTCTCTACTCTTTTTAAAACTATTGTGAATTTTTACTTTTGACCTCCTTAACGAAAGTACAAACTATAAAGTAGATTATTCACTTTCCTACCAAATAAGATGTTGAGGTTGAAATTCAAAAGATTTTTATTGCCTCAAAAGCGGTGATGAGACACGCACAAACAAAAAAAAGAAGCACACATCATTGTAAAATCAATATGTACATTCATCGCTCAGCTGAGAATGAAATACCTATAAGGGATCTTGTTTTATATTTTCCAACCTTAAATTTGCAAATTATTTCATAGTAAAAATGCATACAATTTTAATTTTAATACTTATGACTTTAGAATAAAAAACTAGATTGCTCTTAAATATTTTTACTTGAATTAAAAAAAAAATTTGTGTAAAGTGTATATAAATTTTTTATAAAAGTTGAAAACAAATTTTTTTTTATAGATAAATTAATAAAAAAAAGAGAAACGAAAAATAACTAATTTTTTTTTCTACGTTTTTAGTGATTAAGGAGTGTATTATAATATGTTATAGTTTAAAACATATTAATATTAATTTACTTGAAAGATTTTACTATATACAACGGAATTACAGAAATTATTATTTTCTATACTCAATGAAATGTTCAAAATATATTTTAGTCTAATTTTAATTTATTTATCCACATTACAACGGACGTACCTATTTACACCGTTATACTGTACATAGGTAATTATTTATAAATTAATAACAATAGTCAATAATTATATATGAATATTCAATATTATATTGGTAATATTATAATAATTAATAAGATAATATATGCGATGTTTTCGAAAATAATTTGTTTGGCATACTATACTCCCTATTTTAATAAAAAAAAAATGATAAGTAATTACTCATAGTTATATAAATAAAATATAGATTACATCCTTCGCAATAGCACCTGTTTCTCTATTTAAAACTGTTTTACTATGCAATGGTTCATCATTGAATTAAAATTAAGTAGGTATACTAAACAATGACCTACACGGCTACACTATAGTACCTTCGAAACCAACTATACAGCAGAGCATATTACCCGGATTTGTTGAGACTTTAAAGTTGTTAGTGATATAGTAATTTAATCTTTTTTCTATATTCAAAATTAAATCTGGGTTCGTCGTTTTACTCAAGCTTATTGCTTATCCGATAAGAACATAGTAGGTACATATAGGTACATAATGTAGTATGCATTCCAAATACCCATTAACGTGTTTCAGTGGTTAAGTAGTGGTTATTAAACTTTTAAATTAAATGTTTTGTGACAGAAATGCGTTCAGATTCACGGAACAATGTCGAGGAAACGAACTTTGGGAGCAGCATAATGACGGCAGGGATGACGTGTCGCAAGTCCTCAAGAACGTCCTGTCAACGGGAACTCGAACTTACCGACTCGTCGTCGGTAAGTTATTTTTTTTAAATCGCACATTGAATATATTTCTGTGTTTACGCTATAAAGAATATTTAGTAGAATTGATCTATGGCAGATCAGCGATGATACGTGCACCGGGTCGGATGGACAAGGTCGAAACGGCAGCGGAGCAATTAGGTCCGGTAACCGGAGGAAGCGCAAATCCAGTGGCAAAGACAAGAACGTCCGGAGACTAGAAAGCAACGAGAGGGAAAGACTGCGAATGCACAGCATCAATGATGCCTTTCAGGTACACTGATATTTTAATGAATAAAGTAGGTTTATGTTATTGTTAACTACGTCCTAAGGTTATATATTTTATTTTAGAACAATACAAACTATTATGAAGAAACAATTAAATTATTATTTTTTATTAGGTAACTCATACATTTATAGGTATGAATTTATTTATAATTCGGAAAATATTAGATGACCGGATATGAATATTATGAATATAAATGTAGAAAATGCAGTCCAGGTTTATTCAAAGTTATAGTTATACATTTTTAAATCATTTAAATTGCTTTAATTTTGTAACAATAATTATGTAGTAAAAAGTGTGTGATTAAATAAGGATTACACTGTAATAGTTGATTACAAAGGGCAAAGGCATTACTATATTAAATATGATATATAAAACTATAAAATTAAGAAAGAAAAATAAGAGTACCTATAAGTACATATTGTTATTGACTTCATAAAATGTATTTCTAGTTTTTAAGGCTTAAAACATATTACGATATCATTATATTTCATAGATTCGATATTGCAAGTTTATGTAATTGTTTATTTTTGACTGAAAATTCTGAAAATTCTAAAAGCATACAAGTATATTAAATTCTTATAAATTATAATATATTATATGTGTAATAAAAAGCGTACAGTAAACATGGTATTTATGGTGGGGGAGGGGTGTCAGGAAATTATATGAATATTATATAAATTATATTATATTATTTCCAATATGATTTGTGTACTTTGACTAGACACTATTGGTAATTACTAATTTAGAAATATACAATTAGAAAGTCAATATCTAATCAATATCTTTTTGAAAAATACGACTTATTATTAAGCCAATGCCAATGTTTAAACTTGTATAGATCAGTTATTCCCTACAAAACTTAGTTAAATGTTTATTTATAATAGCTAACTAATAATTTAATCAGAAATAGGTATAACATAAATTAGTTTTTTTTTCACTTAATTTTACAGTTTTGATTAATTGAACACATTTCAACCAACATGAAACAATACTTGAATTCGTATGGTTGTAATTAATGTGCAATGGTGGGGGAGGAGTGCATGAGATTGGTATTCGCAAAGTTCAGTAATATAGAGTAACCTGATCACTAGGATCATCCCACTAAAATTTGATTTATTTCACTAATCGTTCCGCTAATATAAATACAATTTCATACGTACATTATTATTGTTCACATAGAACCGAAATAAAATACATTCCAGAACAGTGTTGACAAATAAATCCTACATATTTTTTCATAACATAACACAATTACCTAATATATTATGTACCTAAGTATAAGTAAGAAACTTAACACAGGATAGGAATAATATAGTATTAATTATTATCATGAGGGCGCTATTTACAAACTTCCTACGCTTGTATAACATGAAAAAACCTACCCAGTGCATATAGGTACCACATATTGGATATTCACGAGAACTGAAAAGCATAACTCAATATGATAATATATTCATCAAATACACTTCTGCGCCATTAAATTTCAGCATGTCATACGATATAGGTTAGATATATATTTAAAACAAATAATAATATAATACCTAATAATACACAATGGCAACCGTCTGAAAACAGTGAAACCAGTGTAGAAAATGTTCTGTACACGCATTGTGAATAGTAGACGGGATTCCGTTTTTCACGTGGATATCTCAATATAACAATAATGTAGTAATATGTATAATGTATATGATGGTGATTAGCAATAAGTAGTATTAGCTTGAACAAAATGAAAAGATCCGAATGTAGAATAGTGTGAAATGTGTAGGCGGTGACTTAAACTTTGCTGATACTACATGATTATTATAATATTACTTGGGTATGGATATAATATGGTCAAAGTAGCAGTTCAAGTGAAGCGATTGTTTCGGAAGGCTTTTAGTATAAAAACGAAGAAGAATTGTTTGTTTAAACTTGAAGTGCATCGATGTCGGGAGCGTAGGGTTACAGGCATAACGATGATTTGTTTATGCGCTACGCAGAGGACGAGATAAACGGTTATACACTTCACCAGTTACTATAGTAACATGGGAAAATTCAATTGTTATATATTATATATATTTGTGTGTGTGTGTGTGCGTGTAGTGTGTACACACTACATAAACTAATATATACATCAAGAGGGCGAAAAAAAATAAGGATTCTGTAGCCTACCTTTTAATTACGCTAAAACGTTGTATCGGAGTTGTAGTCGATGGACCAGTGAATGACGCCAACGCCCAAGAGAGGTGGAGATTAGAGTACATTTGCTTTTAGCTCCCATGTGAGGATGTATAACGGTTTTTTCAAACAGCAATATTTATAGGTACCTTTTAACCTTTATGCAAATTACAAATTGCACAGTATAAAATAAAACATTGTCATTTTTCAGTGTGTTAACCATTATGTATAATCCATTTAAGTTATAAAACAATAAAACAAGTTTTGCATAAAATAAATTACTAAATTTAAACGAAAATAATATCATAATGTCATATAAATAAGTCAAAGCCTGTATTCTTGTTCAAAATATTATATTATTAGTGGATGAAAATGTAATATAATTATATAGGTATGTCGTATGCATACAGTAGGTATACCCAATAAGTGGTCATAAGTAAAATAAACTTCTTATTACCTAGGTAACTACTTAATTTAATTTAAATTTGAAAGTTGCATTACCTATATAAGTTATTATAAAATTATTAATGTAATCGATTAATAGTTTCATTAATACAGCTTATGTAAATTATAGCATTTAAAATGAATTCCCAATTATGTAATTTAGTAATAAATAAAAATGATAATGGAATTATAAGGAATCTAATAAAAAATATAATTATATAAAAGGTATACTTTAAGACTTAAGTTATGACATTAAGACATAAACAATATCTTTTTAAAAAATACATCTTATTATTATGTCACAAAAATAAAACAAGTGTAAAATATATTTCTAGTTTTGTATTATACCAAAATTATATTTCTATTGTTTTTCCGTTTTGTTATAAATTAGATTGTAAATGATACAATCCAGTGATCATTATTTAATTAACAATTTAACGTTCAGAAGTTAAGTTTAATACGTCATAACTCATAATTCATAATATAAAAGTATTCATTGATATAATCTTTTAATAGTTGCCATAATAAGTTTTATGATATTAAAGATTTATACTTACAGCTGTTTTAGTATTTCGTGGTTACTGTAAAAGAAAACATAACAAATATTAGTAACTTCATTTTTTTTTTTATTGTTATTTAGTTTTAATAATACTTTGACAACAAACACGATATTATATAAAATATAACTTCCATAGAGGGGAAGGACAAGTAGTTGGGATCGAAGGGCGAAAAAATATAAGAAGATATAAAATATACAACATAATAATATGTCAGAATATGATAACGATCGTAACGGTATAATTCATTTTAATTTAATAGTATAGAGGCAAGTGAAAAATTAAATAAGATCTGCAGAGTATCATACACACATTATGATAATATATCATATTATATTATTATACATAAATACATGATAATATATGTTATATGTTGTGACTTGTGTTACAGTCATCACTTTATATTTAATTACAGCCCATGATGTGTTTTTAATACTTTGATAATGTAAAATGTGACCCAAGCTTAAAAAATATTTAGAAGGAATGTCAACCACTCAACCCTATATATGGAACTTTCTATACTAAATTAAAAAATACTATATTTTAATTATATAGGTATCAATTTTAATATCAAATTAACATAAAGTATATTTTTTTAAATATATAATAAGTAATTTGCGCTATAAACATAAAACAAGTACAATTGTACAAATAAAACTGAGTAAAAATGTTCAATGATACGTAGTCGTTGTTGTCTCATATTTATCGGTACTTGATGACATGGTGTTTCCATGTACAGTAATTATAGTAGGTACTACACTGGTGGGTATATAAACAAATAAATATTGATGAAGCAAAAAAATGAAGCTTTAACCAAATAGTTAAAAACAAATGTATTTATATGACTCTTTAACTTATATAGTATTATTTGATTTTCTAATTACAATAGCTCAAGTTATTATTTTTATTTTCCCATCTTTGATTTAATAGTAAGTGATTTACAATAGTGATGATAACAATCGTTGGATAAAATAATTTTTAATTAGAATATTTTTATATAATATAGGTACCTAACATATTATGTTATTATAATACATTTGAACATTTATATAAATTCTGAAATCGAACACAAATTTCACATTTCACATTTTAACATTTATAACGACTCTTGTTGTTTTCGTACGTTTTCGTTCATTGCTCCCCAACGGCGATTAAAACCAATTGTTATTTAGTGACAAGATGGCGTTTAATTTGAAAAACGTAGATAAACCTAACAAAAAAACTCATTTATCGTAAACGAAATAATAATAACATTTAGTCGAGTCACTGAACAATAAATAGATACATCGTATATCCAATTGTACGTAAACGCTGGCGTTTTGAACTTTTGGAGGAATAAAAACAGTTCACTCGGAATCGCATTGTGTACCTATTCGTGTGAAGTACCAAAAAGAAAGTATCGTAACATAGGTACTTATAAAACTATATATTTTAGATCGATGAATATACCAATCTACGTCTATCTGCAATTTTTTTTAATTTCCAAAACGAAATCGTGCCAATATATGTTGTTAATAGTTATATCAGCTACATAATTATATCGATATATCTATTCCAAAATGGTATTAGTTATAAAATATGAATCTAACGAGAATTGTAATTTTGGTTTATTTCCCAATCGATAAATAAAATAATACAAACGGTTTTTAACCAGCACCGACTTCGGCGTGTCAGTATGATGCTCATAAACCGATACAATAATCCCCGATCGTTTGTGATGGTATTTTGATCGGAATCGTGTATTATGGATGTTTCATATAGTTTGGTCGATATTGGATTATATAATTGTAGAAATTAGTAAATTACATTTTCAAGTGGTGTAGCTGCAAATGGAAGTGGAATATAATAACTTCTGGTTCCGGCATCCACGCCAGACCGTAACAAAAGAAGGTCAGCGCTATGACGACATAGGCGCGACAGGCCCTCTAAATAAAGCGAATTAAAAATACTGTCATAAGGTTAATATCTAAGCCAAATTAATAAATCGTTATCGAATATGTTTATCAATTATCATACAAGATATCAGAAGATAGTTCCACGAATTCGAGTGACTCGACCATAACCATGAAATGTATAAGAAATAGTTTGTTTTTTCAGGGTGGGTATTCAACAAGCATGCCCCCCCATTTTTCCTTTAATAATGAATTTATTCAAATTCTAGTTTTCGGATTTCTTAAATATACTCCAAGACCATTTTTGTTCAAATTCTTGATTTTTTTTGTAACACTTAAGGAATGTGGCGATACAAACTTTGTTTTTCAAATGAGAACCCTCATTTTTACTGTAAATTATTTTACAAATGTATAGATTTGAACAATTAGTTTTTCAGTTATTACAATGTCTAGGTATAAAGTAGATATACTAAATACATTATACAATATTCCTTAAAAATGGTTTTACAAGAATATAAAATAAATATAATATTTTATCTAGTATTATACTTTGATCATTTTTACAAATTATTAATGTTTACAAATGATTAGTAATCAGTAAAATGTCACCACAGCCCCCATATATTATAATTACAAACACATTATTATGGACCTATTATCCTTAGTACAACACAAAGTTAAATAACAAAAAAAAAGCTGGCAAGTGGGTGTCGCTCTGCCGTACAATAGGTTACAAGCGGGTCACTGTAATGGATGGAGTTAAATTTGAATTCAATGATATAATATCATTGTATAAGAAACACGATTCTGAGCCAAGACTGTCAGTCAGCCTATGATTTATCGATATTACTAAGTATATTTGATATTATTATTATGAATAAAGTAATTTATATATAACCTATTTACGTGGAACTTTGTTTTAAATTTTTAAATCTTAGCTATAAGAGTTGAATATTTTATACATTTTTAACTTCTAAATAATTTGTAAATCCTCAATTAGATAAATTCCGTCGAAATTCGGACTTTAAATGCTTATAAAAAAATTGTGGCTATGTATTTTTAACTCCTATAGTCCTATAATACTATTTTATATTTAAGTATTTAACCATTATGATGTCGTTTACAGTCGCTTAGGGAGGTGATACCACACGTCAAGAAGGACCGGCGGCTGTCAAAAATCGAGACGCTCACGTTGGCCAAAAACTACATCATCGCCCTGACCAAGATCATATGTGAAATGAGAGGCGAACTGGATCCATTCAAGGACTCGCAGGAAGGATCTGGTGGTGGGGCTGTGTCCTCGGGCGCCACAAACACCGGACCGCCGTCGTCCATAGCGGCGGCAACAGCGGCGGCTGCCGAAATCGACAGACGGCTACAATTAGCGTTACAAAACTCAGACGAATCAATGGATCTTTCTTAATCGACGACGAAGCAGCCGCCTCCGTGGCGGCCAGTCGCCACCATCACAACCACAAATCCATCGCAACCACCACCAACCGTACTTACATCTTATTATTTCCTTATCCTATATACGTTAAAATACTTTTGAAAAGTTTTGATTAAATTCGAGTCAGCTTTCTCTGTTTCCGTCATGATATAGATACCTCCTTAACACACAAATACGATTACATTAACGTAAAAGTTACAAAATTAAAACATTAAAAATAGCGTACCTACCTATAGATACATATTATAGATTTACACAAAAAGTTATCAATCAGCATCTAGTTGTCTAGCCGCCAGTAAAATAAAACCGAAACACCAATACACACTAAACTATTTATAACTATTATTATTATTAATATACTATATTTTAGGTATAGAAAAAAATATATTATAATTATAAGTAAAACGTATAAAATGGCATTATTTTTGGATTCATATTTATAGTAGGTAATATTATATAAGTATACTATGTTTATATTACATTAATTTCTGATGGTCTATGTGACTTAATATCTGTATGCAATACAGTTATGATCTTTAGGTACCTAAATGAAATAATATAACAATAATATTTTATCGTATGTGATACGAGGTGAAAAATTTAATTTCGTTCGCCTCGCCCATGTTTGATGTATTCATCAAACTGTAAGACATTATATGCCAACTAGCAAAAATGTGATTATATGCGAGTGTTAATCATGATTTAGTTTCACCCTTTCAAAAATAATAATGGATTTCAAGCTGCTCAAATAAAAAGTAAAATCCTCATTGATTTATACTCTGGCTCTCTCTGTCTCTCTATATGTATTATATATAGATACCCGTACCCCAAATCCTTAAAATAACACATCACAACTGAAATTATATAAAAAATAAAATTTCACAAACACTAATAAAATATTATTGTTATTAATTTATTTATCTCAAAGAAGAATACTGAGCCTAGATCCCTAGAACCTTGCTGAAAGTACGTCCTCGTGAGAGCCTGAATGGCTTGAACACAAAATATAATTATTTATTACCTATAATAAACAATGAGTAACAGTAAAATGTGTTTATTTTTGGACATATTTTATCTTAATGTAAATTTTATTATGTTTAAACCATACGTCCATACAACTATTATACAAGTGTGTTTATATAATTATTGTATTATTTATAGTAGATAACAAATAATACAGCTAAACAATATGTCGATATGTCAGTAAATATAGTTATTAGTAAACTAATATTTAATTTTTTTGATGTATAAATAATACTTTATAATACTTATAACATATTATACACATTGCTTAGGTTGATATCTTATATAATAGATACCTATATTATTTATATTTTATAAAACCTATGCCGGATCTTGAACTCTGGGCCCTGGGGTCCCCGGTGTAATATATCAATAAGAGGCCCATTAAAAAAATGCTATTAGGGTTCTTACTTATTTTCATTAAAAAACAAATCTTTAGCTGTCCAAATAATCATTTAAATATTACTACAGCTCTATAACATGATCATCTTCTGAGGGCGGTAGGATATGCCATTATGTTTATGCCATTTATGATACATTCGATATACATAATGTCGGAGGTGATATTCCAAGTCAACGGGGTCCTAGTGCAATGCACTGTTTGCAACAACATAAATCCATAAAGGCACCTACTTCTAAAATATGAGGAACCTAACTCATATATACCTACTGGCTATTGCCTACTAAGTACTAGTATATGTATGATGAAAGCTTCTATTACACATATTTTATTACTTAAAATAACATTTAGCTTCAAAACTGTTTATTTTTAACAGCCATACATATTATGTCAACTATTTTTATCTTACATATGATTACATAAAACATAGTGATGTTAACATATTTTAACGTGGTATAATTTATTGTTAGCAAAAGTCAATAAAAAATAAAAATTGTTCTTAGAATATGTAAAATATGATAAGCCTTATAAACAAATCAATAAATCTATTGTTATTATTAATATTAATAAATAAATTAACCATTATTATTCATGTTAATCGAAATATTGTATACTACCTACGTCCTACATACTAATTTATTTTAATTTAGTCAAATACCAGATAAAATTAATCTTTTTTAATTATTTTTCTAGAAGTGTCAATATTATTAAAGAAAGATTTAGTTAAATCATTTTTATGAATATTTGAAATGCGTTTTATAAATTTTGCTTGATATAAATTGAATAGATGACGAGCATGCTTAAAATATCTCGTTAGAAACTCCTGCCCATCGCCTAATTAATAACAGTCATATTATTATCTATTACATAAAAATGTTGATTATATACTATGAAAACTTTCATTAAGTAAAATTAACGTTTTTTTTATCAAATGTAAATTTATACTTTTTATGTATCTATTTATTTTCTATGTTATTAATAACTAGGTGTTCATACATCGCTGGTTTCAACTTTTAAACTCTTATTATGTAGTGGGTGTACTAATTATAAAATATTACGTTATAACTTATAACCACGATGGGTATTTATCCTACTTTATTGTGGAATAATTCATATACTTATTATAGTGTTGGTATTATGTAATAAATCAAATATAATTTAAATAAATATATTGTTCGCAATATTATTCCTATATAGTCAAATAAATATTATATTTTTGTTGAGCACAAAAAAAATCGTATTAATTTTATATCTCCTACTCTTAATTATGTATTATATAGAATTATATAGGTACAAGGTACTGCAGCATGTTATACATTATACCTAACATATAATTATCCAATGAAAAATGTTGATAAGTATTCATTACCATACGGATATTTTAGTATATACTTTTTGTCTTTTGATAAAATAACCCATTGCTTTAAGTGTAAACCACCATATTATATAAATATATAATGAAACATACAAGTTCATAAGCAATTAGCTCTTTACAGACAGTTGCGATCATAGTATCTTACTTCATCGATTTATTTCAAATATGTTAAAGCTATACAACATCTACTCATGTTATTTTTAATATACCTATCCTATATGGCTATATACTAAACGAAATTTAATTTCATAATTCATTATAATTATTTAGTATTATTTCCTAAGACATAATGTATATGAGTTAAAATACCTGCTACTTGAGTCTTTGATAGTTGTTTTCAATATTCATTTAAATATATTTAATATAAAACATTAAATTTGTTTTGGAATATTAATAGAATAAACTTAAAAGTTAAGCAATTATTTACTGAGTAGTGAGTATACTGTGGTTTTTTTGTTGTGTCTCTCATCACGGTTTGAGACAGTAAAACTGCTTTGATTTTCTTCAACAGTATCTTGTTCGATGGGAAAGTGAATCTAGTTGGTGCATTCCAGCATTTGGGAGGTCAAATTTTAAAATTCCCAATAGTTTTCAAAAGCTACTAAAACTTACAATACCAGTTGGAAATTTTCAAAATAGATAGGCACTATTTATGAAATTGAAAAATGATTTTCAAATTTTATAACTAATGTTTGAAAAATGAAAACAAAGATCCACGTAAGTAGGTTATTGAGGTTATTCTGTAACCAAAAAATATAAAACATAATTTTTCTTATACCTATTTATTTTAATATTTTAGGTTCAAATTAGACGAAATTAGATATTTGAACGAAGAAGAACGATTTTAGCTTGAGTTATACCTACCTATTTTAAAAATATTATTCGTGGGTAATTGAAACGACTAAAATATATTATTATACACAAATATGATAATAAACAAATAATAATATCTTAACTAATTTAACGGCTACGGTAGGTATTAATATTTAATAATATCAATATTCAATTTAAATATTATATACAATATCCTAGGCTGACAAATCCACTTATCCGGTTTTTTTTTATGATGAATGTACTAATGTAGAAAACCTTATATGAGTTATAAGGAATCTTGTATATATTTTTAAATCTTAGATTTGAAAACAAACATTTTTAGGAATTTCTGACTCGAAATAATTTGCATATTTTAGTCAAAATTCGAACTTTAAATGCTTATAAAAAAATTGCGCCTATGTATTCTTTATATTTTTCAACTGCTATTGTAACAATATATCAGGAGCCTTGTATAAAATTTGTACGCATTTTACCCAACAAATAAAGTTTTATTGACATTCATAGAATAAAAACCTAAAAAAAAAAAGGAAACTAAAAATACAGCTTATAACAAGTCAAAATATTTTTTGATGTATAGCAAACGATAATATAAATGTTCAGTGAAATTTTCATGTTTATTCAGTTATTTCTTGTAGAGTTATGCCAAAAACCAAAATCAATTTTGTCAATAACCAATTTTGAGTAAAAATTCCAGTTTTTCCTAAATTGATTGTTTGTTTTGCCGGCGCTATTGATAACTACTGAGAATTTTAAATTTTGACGACCCCAGCACATCAATTGGATTCACTTTCCAATCGAACAAGATGCTATTTAAGAAAATCGAAGCAGTTTTACTGACCCAAACGGTGATGACAGTCTCAAAAATTAAAAATTAATTAATTATTAAAAAAAAAACACACATCAGTGTAAAATCAATACATTTATCGCTCCTCTCAAAATCTAAAAGATATAACATTAAACTTTATACTAGAAGCACAGCCAAAAGAGGTAAGTATTATATTATCGTGCCTACTATAAATTATAGCAACTTAATGTTACTGGAGAGTCAATTTTTTGGGATCAAAAATATATCGGGCTAGAGAACATATAAAGCAAAAAAAAAGCTATGTTAACTATGCTCCTTTAAATATTATAATATTCGGACATTTAATATTTCAATATTATATAAGAATTCATATATAAGTTTTACGATAAACATTATATAGATTTTAATCTCTATATATAAAAATGGATCCCTATTTCCCTTGGTTATCGCATCACGCGTGAACGACTGGACCGATTTAGCTAATTCTATTTTTGTTGTGTTCGTAATTGTCAGGAGGAGGGTCTTATGTAATATAATTTTAGGAAAATTCACCGGAAAGGTAGAAAATTTGAATATCAAAAAATACAACAGTGGCACCATCTGTCCAGAAAAAAATAAATAATGAACAATTTAGTTGCGGATTAAAATAATAATAGTTTATTGTATAATATTGCTTGCTTTGGTTACGGGCATCTTTGTTGGTTTGTATTGTACTGGGTAAACTTTGGAGCTACTAAGCAGATCTTCTTGGTTTTTTTTTTAAACGAAAGAGTATAACATGGAGAAGGTTTTTAAGAAAGAAAATTTTAGGAAGATCCACCAGAAAAGTAGGAAATCTGAATGTCAAAAATACAACAATGACGCAACAGGTTAGGTTAGGATTTTGTATTAATTGATTATATTAATCCACCATAGGTAGAATACGACAAACTTGATATAACTTTGATACTTTAGAGTTAAATCATACACTTACGTACAAACAGCACGGGGTCCGCGATCTACTGCAGGTAGATTGCCTATCTGATAATATACTGCTGCGAATCAGAATGTTTATTCCGGGCACCGGAAAAGTTATGATTAATTTTAAACACCATACACCGAATATTAAATAACGAATTGAACAAAGTTTGAGTCATATAGAGTTGGAACATTTAACGGGCAACGAAGTGCAAGGGTTCAGCTAGTAATTTTATAAATATAATAAAATAAAATACAGAAAGATCATAGCATTTTATATTTTTATAAAGTAATTTGAAATGTAGCACGGGAGAATTAAAAATGGTACGCGGGCTGCCAGTTGACCATCCCTCAGTTATAATACAGGTATTAACAGACATGTTCTGATTGGGTGGGGGAACGGGTCTCTGGGTCAAAATTGACCCAGGCATCCGAGGACCAAATAATAAAGGGGGCCCCTTTAATATATTGATATGAATATTATGACAATTTTTAACAGTAAATATAGGTCATAAATATCGGCGTAGGGAAAGTGGCGTACCCGTCGCCCAGTACACAACATTGTGTACTGCAATAGCTCCACACTGACTTTAACTAGTGTGGTCTGTTCCACCTGGTAGGGGCTTAGAGTAGGTTAACAACCTACCTAGTAAAAACAACATGTTCAGGATCAAGCAAATTTGCCTCGGGACAGAGTTTTTGGAAAATTGACTGGAAACGGAAAAAGGAATTATCTTTCGGAACTTGGAACGTACGAACACTATTTAAATCTGGAGCAGTTCACAACATAGTGAATGAAGTTGAAAAATATAAAGTAAAATTAACAGCATTACAAGAAATTAGATGGGCCAATACAGGGACGATGAATATAAACGAGACAGCTATCTTCTATGGTAGCTGTACTGATCAACGTCAACTAGGAACGGGTTTTGCGGTTTCACAAAGATTTAGTCCCTGTAGTTAAAGAATTCAAAGATATTAACCCTAGAATAAGCATGCTAACAATAGAAGCACAATGGTTCGATATAAGCTTCTTGAATGTACATGCCCCAACGGAGGACAAATCCCAAGATGAGAAAGAAACGTTTTATGAACAATTGGAAAGTTTGCAGAAACCGATTCCTAGCGATAGGATACAAATTGTACTAGGATATCTAAATGCCAAAGTTGGGAAAGAAACAATGTTTCGACAAGTGGCAGGAAAATACAGTCTACACGATGAAACAAATGACAACGGACGTAAACTAATTGACTTAGCAACCGGGAATGGTTTAGTTATAAAGAATACAATGTACCCACATAAAAATATTCATAAAGGGACATGGAGGTCACCAGATGGAAGATATACTAACCAAATAGACCATATTCTGGTCAATTCAAGATATAAAAAAATATGTGCATTTGACAAATTACAGCATTAACAGACTTAGTAGTCGGTATACTGAAAACGAAGATGCTGATGCATGTCAAGGTCATAAATGGTAAATATATTGTATAAATGTGTATTTATTTTAGACTTAATAAATTTAGAATAATATAACGATTATTAATTAATTACAACTACTTAGGACGTTACGTTCACTATGGACATATATGGAGAAAGGACGCAAGATTGATGTTAAAAAATTATGGAAGAGCTTAGAAGATCTAGTTGTAAAAACTGTCATTAGTGGTGAATCACCTATGGCTATGAGTCAAATGTGTAGTTCAAATCTGTGCAATAGATATAACGCATATGAGTTATTTGGAATAGATGTTTTGTTTGATGAATATCTTAAACCTTGGATATTAGAGGTACCTTATTAAAATTACAAGTTTATACTTTTGACTAATTGATTAATAAAACATGTACCATGTTAGGTAAATATATCTCCTTCATTGCATTCATCTTCTCCACTTGACTTGGCTGTCAAAGGACCATTAGTCAAAGATCTCATGAATATGGCTGGTTATCATATCCCAAACAAAATGTCTCATAGTACACATGTGAGTTATAATCGATTGCACAAATATTAATTTAACTTAATAACTAATTTCCATAACTAACCATCAATAAATATTTTTATTAAATTAAAATGTTTGTGTAGAATTATTTACTTAAGGTGTTAGGAGTCAAATCAATACTATGTTATGACAAGAGATTATATACATTAAATTTATCTGCTAAAGAAAAAGAAAAAGAAGAATATTATACAAATATTGAATCTAGAGAAGAAGTACAAAATTATTGATTACAATTAAAAGTACATATAAATTAATTATACATAATCTTATTTGTTTAGTATATTGATAGCATATTGGATGATCTATTACCAGATAATATTCGACATCTCATTGTGTATGAAGATGAAATTACACAAGTTGGCTCGTATGTATTTCATTAATACATTTTTTTTTCTACATTTGTAACTTAATACATAAAGCAAAAACATACTACTAAATTTTTTATGATTTTAGATTTCAAAAAGTATTTCCAACCACTTCATCTTCTAAATATCATAAATACTTCGATAGCTCCAGATATTATAATATGCTTCTTGATGCATGGGAATGTAAATATAGTAACAATAGAGGAGAAGGTAAGAGCTATTATTAACAACTCTAAGTATACAGTATGTAAATTAATCAATTTAAAAAGTATATAAAAATACAAAAGTAATTTTATTTTCAAGGTACTGCTGTGCTAGAAAAGTTATGCCAGTTAAAAATTCACCTGGAAGTGCCTGACATTGATGAAGAAGAATGAAAAGTAACACATTCAATTATCAAAATATAAATATATTTATTTGTATGAGAAAAATAATAAACCACTTTTATGAGTCACGTAATTGATTTTTAAAGTAAATATTTATAATTTTTTAATTTATCAAAATATAAGAATTTTTCAGTGTACCTGCCTATAAACTAAAGATGCAACAAGTCTTCATATTTATTACTTTTTTTAATTTAATGCACATAAAATACACACTAATTATTAATAATGTGTTAGTTCATAATAATATGAAGATATTATTTGTAGTTATAATTTTACAAACTCATACGAAGTTCTTAAGTTTTATGTTCATGTAAATATATATTAAAGGAGCACACAACAAATGTTAAATTATTGTAGTTATAGCTATATTAAATGATTTGGTGAAAACCGATGTGAAAATATGATTACTTTAAGAGATATTAAGAAATGTAGAATAGCCGCGTGACATCATTGGGCCCGGCTCATCGTAATTGCCTATCTTATACGTGTAAAAGTTCCTCGCTTCACACAATTATTTACCAATCTAAAAATTTTTTTTTGAAATTAAGTCTACGTATAAATGTGTGTTTTTATGTGTTTAAGACGATAAAAGTATCAGAAATGCGATATAACGTTTAGTTTTTTAAATATGTATAAATAAATCTTTACGCTCCATCATGGTCATTTAAATATAAAATAAAAATTCAAATATAGGTATCTCTTAAGTTTTTTAATATTTAAAAAAGTAAACGTTATATTGATATTCTGATACTTGTATCGTCTTAAACACATAAAACCACACATTTATATGTAAATGAAATTTCAAAAATAAAACTTATAGGTTGATAATATCAAATATGACATTAATACGTCCTGTCATCCTATATGGGTCAGAAACATGGGCTCCAAGAAAGATAGAGGAAATAAGATTGGACAACTTTGAAAGAAAAGTTTTCAGACGAATCTATGGACCTTGTCTCGACACAGGAACCAAAGAATGGAGAATTCGAACCAATGAGGAAGTATATAACTTGTTCCAAAGACCAAGTATTTCAAGGGAAGTTGCAAAAAGAAGACTGATGTGGGCCGGTAACGCGTGGAAGAAAAAAGACGCTATGATAAACACAGTAATTAAAGAGAATCCGAAATAAAAAAGACCACTAGGCAGACCACGCCTCAGATGGGAAGACTGTGTGAAGAGAGAAGTAAAAGAAGTAGACCCAAGAACAAACTGGAAAGAAATAGCTAAAAACAGAATAAGGTGGAGGGAAATTTGTTTTACGGGATGGTCTTAAAGGCCGGACCCCCCCCCCAAAAAAAAATAAAATAGGTAATAAATTTAGGTATGTCGAGAATTAGTCGAAAATTAGTATAACAGATGCCTAGGCATCTGTATGCCGCTTATGGCTTTATAATTCACTTGGCTATCAGAGCAATGTTTCTGTTTTTATTTGTGGTTATTCAGTGAAATGTCTCCTTTGAACTGAGTATTTTATTTGAGTTTTTGTCTATTTTTGGCGAAATTATATGTTTTTCCCAGGAAATGGTTATCGTCGACGACAAACGAAACGGTACCAATATTACATATTATTTTCATAATCTATGTATATATATGCTAAATACCACTCACTCACTCAATCAGTCATCGCTACACCTCAAAAACTACAAAACTTACTAACTTGAAACTTGAGATAGTGGTTCCTCTACCTACTGATATTGAATGATTGATTGACATGTAACAGCCAATAAGAAAGGATTTTCCGATATACACATTAAAAGAGGTGGTCAAACTACAGTGGCGGATATCATATACTCAATGTGTATCCTTTGATACACTTAATAACTGGGTTGGTCATGGACAAAGGTTGATAACTGGGTATAGTGGGTAATGATCCTAAATTAATAAGAAAAATATATTTGATGATTCAATTTCTTACCTGTCTTGAACCCTGAAACTCTTTTCTTGCCCTCTGCCACACACCGAAGATGAATATTCTTATAGCACAGGAAATGCAGAGGAAACAGGATTCGTATACCTGTAATAAAATAACACTTATTTTTATTTGATAAAAACTTAAAAGACACACACGTAGAAACGATTTTAGTGTGTCCACGAGTATACACTGGAACACACTGGGCGTGTTGATATGTTTGGAGGGGCGATTTATGCTATTTTTCAGAGGTCAAATCGTTCCTAGCGTGTTACCTATATTCTTATTATATTTTATCTTATAATTTTACAAACATTATTAAAGATAATTTTAATGTAAATAGTACATCTATGGGAAACAGTACTTTGTACTTTGTACATAATGTTAGTGAGTATTTCTAATAGTATAATTTAATGATTATTTGTTTGACATTTCAGATATGTAAATATGTATAATGTACTGATAGTTCATATTATGATGAAAGATTATTTTAATGTAAATAGTACATCCGTTTGAAATAGTACTTTGTACTTTGTATATAATGTTAGTGGGTATTGTTAATAAAATAACTGATATAAGTATTTATTTTTTTAATATTTATTTGAATATATACAATCTGTAATAATAGCTACAATAAGCATATGAGCTGGATTACAATTGACTTTGAAAGCTTGAGGGGAGTAGTTACCCAGCAGTAACACTCGACGTGAAATATAATATAAGTAAATACCTAATAAAACTGAATATCAAATAGAATAATAGTGTTGATATATTATAAATGATGTCGATATATTATTATCATATAATATATTGGTATCATTACATAGTGAAAAACGAATAAAAATACTAATAATTGGATGTAGACATTTTCGAATTTTTAATGTTTCTATAAACAGTATAATAAAATTAGCACAAAACATTAGTCAATTGGGAGTGGGTTCAAACACCCAAAAACCACCCTGGCTATGCCGCTACATACAACTAACTAAATATAATATATTAAAATATTATATTCTCTGGTGTAGGACGACTCAACGTCAAATAATTTCATATATTATCATATATTTTATTTATTTATATTTTGTATTATGATTTTGTCATTATATTTTATCACCATTTACATATTAATATATTATGATACACTAATTAGTAATACTCTAACGAATGATGTATAATGGTAAGGTTATGTTAGGTTAGGATAGGTTAGGTTGCGCCGCGGAAGCAATGCGAAAGCAATTCTCGCGGCGTCGTCGGTTTCAAACTGAAAAAAAAAGGTTAGGTTAGGTTATAATAGTTTTTACTGTATAAGATTTTTTTTTTGTCATGGTATCGAGAACCTGAGGGGGGACTGCGTTAGCATTACGTCCTCTATGATATAGCATTACGTCAACTAAGCATTAAGTCCCCTAAGCATTACGTCCCTTATAGCATTACTTCTCCTATAAAATTACGTCCCTACATAGCATTACTTCTCCTAAAGCATTACGTTCCCGGTAGCATAATATACTGAAGTAATACTATATGAGAAGTAATGCTATGAGGGGACGTAATGCTATGAGGATTGAGGGAACGTAATGCTATCGAGGGGAAGTAAAAATTGTAAAAGTAAAATTTGAATCTGTATTTTTTATACACGGCTTGGGGGTTAGCTTACGTTTCCCCGATTTCTAGGATACTCCCTGAATCAGGCCACCTGATTTCCGAATTCGCTATAGATATCCTAAAATCGAAGAATTGCCTGGATCCAGGAATTGTCTGTATGTAGGAAAAGCCTAGCAGTCACAGAATTGCCTGAATCTAGGAATAGCTTAGAAATCAGGGAATTTTCTGAATCTAGGAATGGACTGGAAATAATGGAAGTGCCTTTTTTCAGTTTTTAACCGACGGCACCGAAGGAATTGTTTTCGCATTACTACCGCTGTTCCGCCATCTTTTATTCGACAACAATACATCGGCCTAGACCACAATGAGGATAGGTGGGACCGTACCCCACCTTACCCCCTTACAATGGTTTAATACATGGTTATGTGGGAGATAGACGGGACATTTCCCCAACTTACCCCCTTACAATATGATTTTTTCTGGTCTGGATCTTCTCCTGGACTTGGCGATCCAACCATAGTCCGCCTCTCTGGAATCCTGTTCTGTAGAATTCTTTTGGAGAGCCGACTGTAGTTCGCCTCTCTGGATTCGCGTTCTCAAATGTCCCGCGATGCCGTGATCGCCCTCCCTCCCGTGATCATGGAATTGCCTAGAAATCAGGGAAATGCCTAGGAATCAGGAAATTCTGGAAACACATAAAACTATTCACAACAATTAGTTCGTTAAATAATGATTATTCAGAGACCACCAGGTCATCAATGTTGAAAATATTTATATAAAATAACCAATTGAGTTAAATTGAAAAAAAATTGAAAGGGGAACGTGGGCGTTCGCAGGTAAATCCATTTAGTAAAACAAAAAAATGTTGAAAAAATAACTAAAGCATGTAAACTACAATCTCAAGATTTCAAACAGAAAAAACTAGTCACAATAATTATTTCCAAAAATAATGATTATTCAGAGACCGGAGTTAGTAAGAACAGAAAAAAAATTGTGGAGGGGAAAATGGATGCCTGTAGGCAAATTAATATCATAAAGCAAAAACAATTGAGATAAAATTAAACATTAAGTATTCTCAGAAGACTTACAAATTTGAAAATATTTATATTAAAATAACAAGTAGTTAAATTTATGACAAAAAATTGAAAGGGAAACATGGACACCCGCAGTCAAACGCATTTTAAGAATCAACAAAAGATATAAAAAAAATTTAGATGGCATCAGGTTGTCAAGTTTAAAAAATCAATATAAAGATATCAAAAACAGTTAAATATATATATAAAAATAAATTGAAAGGGAACGCGAGAGCCTGCAGGCAAATGCATTATAAGAAGTAAAAAAGATACACGTATCTAAATATAATATGTTTAAATAATAAATCTGTACATAAATTATGTAGGTACCTATTACCTACGTCCTACATAATGTTAATTATTATTAATCTAATATATAAATGTGAAAATGAAAACCTTTGAGTGATATGTTCTCGGAAACTACTGAACCGATCGTTATGATTTTTTTTTTAAATTGAAGAGCACATTGCGGAGAAGGTTTATGGCTTTTGATCAATTCTCTAACTTAATAAACAAAGGAGTTATCAATTATTATAAATTTTCATAAAATTCAGATCGAAATTTTTGTTTATAAATGGTTGCCATGAGTGACGTCTTATAAAATGATTCGTTATAGAAATTTTAATACAGAATTATAGTTAATCGTTTTAAGTCGTTGCCACGAGCACAAGCAAACCATTTATTATAATATAATACATCGACTATTTGTTATTGAACATTATTCAATCAGTATCTATTATTATTATGCGTCTATAGAAATGATGGGTTTATAAGCCATATAGTAGTAATAATAATAATAATAATAATAATAAAAAACTATTTGCTTTACTTTTTAAATATAAATTATAATATTATAATATCCAACTATAAAAATGTGAAATGAAAATCCCTGTTCGGGCTGAACTCTGGAACTACTTATCAGATCTTCTTGATTTTTTTTTTAAACGAAAGAGTATTTCACGAAGAAGGTTTATATGAAAGAAAATTTTAGGAAAATCCACCGGTGTATAATATATTGGTTGCTATTGGTTAATCGGCCATGTTTGTTACCTAGGTAGATTGCCTACCTGATAATGTACTGCTGCGAATCAGAATTTTTATTCAGGGTGACAGAAAATTTAAGATAAATTTTTAACACTATGCACCGAATATTAAATAACGAATTGAACACGTTTGAGTCATATAAAGTTGGTACATTTAACGGGCAACGAAGTGCACGGGATCAGCTAGTAATTATATATTTTTTAAATTATTGTATTTAAATATTTATATATTACTAGTTGATCCCGAGTACCTCGTTACCCGTTAAATGTACCTATGTTAATTATTATTAATAATTATATATTTTTTAAATTATTGTATTTAAATATTTATATATTACTAGTTGATCCCGCGTACCTCGTTACCCGTTAAATGTACCAAATCTATAGGACTCAAACTTTGTTCAATTCGTTATTTAATATTCAGTGTATGGTGTTCAAAATTTAACTTAACTTTTCCGTTGCCCGGAATAATAATTCTGATTCGCAGCAGTATATTATCAGGTAGGCAATCTATCTGCCAATAGTATGGAAAAACGGGAATTTTTACACAAAATCTGTTTTCGAAAAAATCGATTTTAGTTTTTGGCGCAACTCTTAAAGAAATGACCTTAGGTTAGGTACATGCAATTTTGACTGAAAGATTATATTAGGATTTTCTATACACCATAACATTTTCCAAATATTTTGACTTATTTTGAGCTGTTTACGGACATTGTCAGTTTCCATTTTTTTTTAGTTTTTTTTCTATAAATATCAATACAATTTTATTTATTGGTTAAAAAAGCTTGAAAATTTAATAGAGAGCTAGTATATTGTTTTAAAGGCAGATGAAAAATATTAAAAATCCTTAGTCACAGTTTTTTTTTATAAGCATTTAAAGTTCAAAAATTGACAAAAATATGGAAAAATCACGAAAATTAACAAATTATTTTGAGTTAAGAATTCGTAAAAATTTTCCTTTTTAAATCTAAGGTTTTAAAAGGTATACAAGATTCCTTATAAGATTATCTAAATTTATCAAAAAAAAATGTCTATCTCTTTAATACAAGGCTCCTGATATATTGTTACAACATCAGTTAAAAAATATTTAAAATACATAGGCACAATTTTTTTTATAAGCATTTAAAGATCGAATTTTGACAAAATTTATCAAATTTAAAATTGAATAATTATTTTGTAGTTAAAAATTTATAAAATGTTCAAATGTTATATTTAAGGATTGAAAATTTAAAACAAGATTCTAAGTAAGTAGTTAATTCTATTACCAAAAAATCTAAAAAATACGCATAAGCACAGTTCATTTTTATAGTCGTTTAACTTTAAGTTCAAATTTGGACGAATTTACATAATAAAAAACCTAGAATAACTATTTTAGTTATTTTGTTGTGATTGTATAATATCATTCGTGGGGACTTGAAACTTCTAAAGTACACTATTATATATCTACTATAGTATCAGAGTTTGTTGTTGATGTATAACGCGTTATAAGTACCTAATGTATATTGCGATATGATTAATTTGGAACACGATTATAAAGAACTTATATTCTTTATAATCGTGATTTGGAATTTAATATAGGTAGGTACCATTTTTTTAATACCATAGATATGTACGAGTATATAATGTGTCTTATACCTAGACTGACATACCGTCTCCGCTCAGAATCGTTTTTCTTATACAATGATATTATATCATTGAATTCAAATTTAATACCATCCATTATACAGTGACCCACTTGTAACCTACTGTACAGCAGAGCACCTTTTTTTTACTTAGCTTCGCGCCACTAACGTCGCGCTGGGTAATATGAAAATAAACTTACGTGTAAACATCGATTCTTGTAGTGAAACCTAGCTGGAGTGCCGCAGCCGAAAAAACAGCTTGGTATTTTCATACATCTTCATCTCACTACGAACTGAAACTTGAAAGTATTGAAATATTTAATGAAAATAACTTGATTATAACGAAATGTGAGAGTTTGTCTAAAAAACTTAACGAACCGTCCGTCTTTATTGATGGCTTATTATTTTTTTGTTCACTGAAATTATTAGAATTGTTAATCGTCGCCAACGAATGTCGACAATTGACGATTGACATAGATATTATGAAATATATTATTTACTATAATAAATCCATAGAACTTATAAATTATACTCAGTACCTATATACGATCTATCGAATCGTATGTTCTACTGAAGTCTTTGTGATCTGCATTGTATATATTTGTATACATATTCTGGTTTTCTATTTCAGTTGTTGTTCGCATGCCAAATTTATATTGTCAATGTGCCGGTGTCCCTAGACACAGTGTTGGGGAGGTTATAGTTCTTTGGTAATTAAATTACAATACGAATTATAAGTTATGTAGCCATGTAGGTACTTGATCATAGACCTTATGCTTATGCAAAATACAGTTAAAATATAATAACCCGCGTGAATTCATCACGGTAGTGATCTCAAGGAGAATAGAGAAAGCTACACTAGTCAGGAACAGCTGATAAGAGCCTAAATCGAGTGTTTATTTGATAAGGTTATCACGCCGCGGTGCCTGAATAGTGAACGGCCGTAGTGTGCTACAATTACCGTGCAATACATCATAAGCCTTTTCCATTTCCACACATTTTCACCTCGCTCCTCCTACACTAATTGACGCTGCCACCGGTCGTGTTAATCTAATGACCACTGCGGAGGACCTAGAATTGTCGGATTCGGACAAGGTTCAACCTTGGAGCACAGACAGCGGCATGGAATCGATGACCGACAGCAATAAGGATCTAACGCCAACGAGTGAAAACTATGATGACGACGAAGAAGTTCGTTGATACATTTATATTTATAATATAATCAACATTGTTTTATAGCAGCACTCTTTAATACATATTTTTTACCATGTGTAGGATGAAACTTTAGGTGAACGTCTATGGGCGCTAACTGAGATGTTTCCAGATTCTCTAAGGAACAGCACCAAAAAGATAGTTAATACCACTGGTAAAGTCATCTTAGGTAAGATATTAGATAATACTATATAGATATTACTCACCACAAATCGCCGACTAATTCAAAACAATTTACAGAAACTTACTTATTTGCGTGCACTTCCACATGGTACGTCTCAACAACAGCGGCTCTGTTACTTATGCCTGTATTATTTGAAACCGAACGCATACAAATGGAAGAAGCGCAGAAAAATCATTCAAAACAAGTAAGTGTTTCAATTACATATTTATTACTGAAGAAGTATATTTTTAAGTTAAATAATACAATTTTTATTTCGTTTTAGCTTCTTCTTGGTCCTGGTAGTGCTGGCAACTTGGGTGGTGGAACTACTATGTTGCCCAATTAATATATTTTCGTCGTATATTATATTTTTAACCTATCTACCTTAGTTTATTGTTTGGCTGAAATAAATATTTGTATTAAATTCACGTAGACTTGGAATTTTATTTTTATTACTTTTTTTTACTAGGGATAAGTGAATTTAATTTAAAAATATAATAAAGACACTTTAAAATAATATTTATTATGAAACTTGTTTACAAATCTGAATATCAGATAATTATGTTATTTAAACGTGTTTGAGTAGTCCTGTATGTATGTCACAACTAATTTAACAAGTTGTATTAATAAAAATGTATATTATTATTTGAAGATTTAATTCCTTTCAACTTACAGAAATAATTAATTTTATCTCGTTTTTACATACAATAATGATTTTTTTTCTCATTGCTATTGTTTACAGACAGCACTATAATATTATTCTGTAAGATTTTGTGTAAGTTAATTAAACGGTTTTGTGAAAGTACATTTTTCAATTATTACAAGCTTACTTATTATTTTTACTTGTGTGTTCAATTTTAAAACACTGCGATACTTTATAAACATTTGTCATATAAATTTGTGTAACTCTATAATTTCCACAAGAAGCAGGTATAAGTTTAACAACACGTTGAACACCATTTACCATTGAGCTATTTCACCATTAATGTTCTTATATACTCATGAAAAAGGAATTGTATTAGTGAAACAGAATCTGACTAGCCTTGGCCTTAAGTCATGTTTGTGTAAGAGGCCTACAGGCTTTAAAATGTATAAAATATTGTTGTCTAAGGTCTAACTACTGTCTTTGAGGCAAGCAATGATGTTAAATGGCTGGTGCAAATATAGGTAGCACTTGCACCACTACATTTCAATAGTAGGGTTGCAAGCTTATATTTTTGCACCATCAGAAAATCATAAAAATTTAAAAAAAAAGTATATACAATCTAGTATCTATAAACATTTTCTTGGCGTCTGAAGTATTAGAATAAAATCATAAACATTTTGAAACTATTTTGAGTTAGAAATTTACTAATTTTCTATTTATATCTAAGATTTGTACATTTTGCACAAGATTCCTCATACTTTTGCCTACCTTGAACAAAAAAAAAGTTTACTGGAAAGTGAAACAAACTTTTTAGGAGCATTTGAAGTTAACATTTTTTTTTGACATTGCATTTGCAGCTGTATATTAAAGAATTCTCATTCAACGATTATTTTATTTTGTTGCAATTCAAAAACTAATAACAGTAAATACTTGAAATTTTCACCCAATTTTTAATTTTAATTTTCTATGATTTGTTTATTTTTATGGTTGACTACATTTTCGATGCAGATGATTTAATAAATACCAAAGAAGAATTTTCAATAAAACGTAAAAAAAAATAACTCAGGTTGAAAATGTAATGATGCATATGTATCCACATAACTGTAAATTGTAATTAATTCAAATGTGAATATTTTTCAATTTTAGGTGCTATTTGAAATAGTATTGATTTGTGCCTTATAACAAATAGGTTGGATCCCATTTTCCCTAAAATTTCATTGTTTTTGAGGTCAATAAAACATTACCGTGTATAATTTGGCTGGATTGGATATTTGGATGAACAAATAAACAATTATGAAATTAATCGCCGGACAAGACAAAAGTTTCTTACCAAAAATTCCTAAGCATGCTATAGATAGTAATTCAGAAAATGTAGGTTTTGAACAAGAACATCTAGCATTATAGGTACTATTATTATTTATTTATAAACAATAACAATGAGGTACTAAGAGGATAATGAATTAACTAAAGGAATAAATTGTGATGAATATCATACATGTATTCAATGTGTTTTTTTGATTTTAAAAAAACTTTAAAACCACTTGTGAACAAGTATTTTTTAAACTTGAAAATGTAAAACAAAATTTTGTTTAACGTTAAATGGCTAACTTATCCTATTGTCAGTCTACAGAAATATTTAAATAATATTATATACTCATCATATACATATACACTAGACCTTAATATTAGGGGGCTCCAGCCCTAGGGTTTTTATAATAAGTAAATTAAGTGGGTGGGGCCTTTGCCTCCTCACATTATGTTAATTATTATTTATTAATAAATTAAGAATTTATATTTTTTTGTACTATTATAGTGTGTGCATAATACAAATCATAAAAAAGTGGAATGAGGAACATTAATGTTTTGGTATCAAATTTAAGTTTTTAATTTCCTTAATATATAAGAGAAAATTAAAAAAATTATATTTGTAACATAAAAATAATACACTAGTAATTACAGTTTAAGCCTCCTCTCAATATTAACAAATTTTTTTTTTTAATTTTTTCTTTATTTAGAACATTTATTAAATCTTTTTCAATATCTATAAAACACAACTTAGAGAATCAAATTAGTAACATGGTTGAGTGGGTTGACCTTATAATATCAACGCATTGCTGAAAATGTTTTTTCATTATTTTGATGCTGAACTTGTTGGAACAGAAAATGATATATGTCGGCCCTAGTTACGTCTGATTCTCGTAAGAAGTAGATTATGTAAAAGTAATTTTAATGACTAGATAAATAATACTAAAAGTTACTATAAATAAGTAGGTAATAATGTATACTCCATGCCATGAGAGAAGTAATCTGGTAAGCATATGCAGACTGACGGCAGCAACCGTTCCGAGGCCCCTTTTCCCCTACTTTACAACATGATACATACTAATAGTATTACTGTATAATGTTGCTGACCGTTGGCGGTCTTTGTCTTGCAACGTCAACATGTCAAATAGGTGGTGGATGAGTGGATTGGACCGTGATTTGGTCGGGGAACGGGTTACTTCTCTTGTGGCACGGAGTATAATATAACATATTATCAACAGTGGTATTGTCGCTGTCTTGTTATATATCACTTACAAGTTACAAATAAATTAAATGTTGTTCTTTTAAAATATAGTTAATAATTAGAAATAAAAAATTAAAATATTAGTGCCGCGTTCTCTAAAATAAGGCATAACATGAGTCATTTTTATTGATTCCTTTCCATCTCGTTTCAATTAGATACCTGTAATAATTAATTATATTTATAAATGTATACAATTCTATTATTATATGATATTATACTTTGGAAGCATATCTAGAGCTGTACCACACATATTTTTTTACAATTTTTAGCCTCCACAATCCTCCACAAACCTTCTATCCTTTGAGGCATTGAGTATGTACATTAAATGCAACATTGTAATCACATGGTAGGGTGCATGCAACAAGAGTCCCGTAACCATTAGTAGATCGTAATATACGGTAGAGCATATAGGCAAGATAGCTCGTAGAACGGCATGTCACCTATAATCATTAATGTTTGTAGAAAAATATGTGATGATTGACAGTAAAAAATAACAGAAACAATAACAAATATGATTATAATTAATTATTTTATTCTTTATGATACCAATATTATAAACTTTATGTTATTCTATTTAACACAGTGGCGGTTCTAGCGTATGGGCAGCTGCCCATACCAACATTTCTGGTGCCCCTTATTGGGGAAGGGGGGGAGGAAATGAAAAATTGTATTCACAGTTAAAACCTAATTATAAATCGACTGTTGCCCATACAAAAATGTAGTCCTAGAACAGCGCCTGATTTAACACCTATGAGAAATGAGTTTTTGTAAGAAAAAGTTTTTATTATAGTTACATAAATAAATTAGATATGATATACTTGCCTAATATTTTATTTTATATCTATATATTTTAGTGTATAAATGAATTTTTGTCTGTCCGTCTGTTCTTAATGTATTCCTAAACGGCTGAACAGATTATGATGACATTTTTTGTGGGTGTTTGAGTGGTTTTTGGAATGATTTAGATTCACAATTGGACCTGGTTGGTCCAGGGAGGTCCTCAAACAGGTATTTTGAGATTTACGGTAGAAATTGTTGTTAATAATTGGTTAATATTGGTTATAGGAGAACACCCAAAAGGAGTTGAACAATCACAATTTATTTAAGGGTTGTCATTTTTTACGGGCAACAAATTGCATGGGATCAGCTAGTTAATAATAAAATAGAAAAAGTTTACAAAATTGATTGATTTATGTTTATAATAAAATAAATAGATTATGTTTCGATTAGTTTTTCAAGGCATTTTTACTTTTTAAGTATGGAGCCCCTTAAAAAATGTTCTAGGGCTTTTGGTATGCCAGTCTAACACTGGAGTGAAATATAATAACAATTTGTTCAAACCATTTACTTCATTTATTGATTAGTAATTATTAGGTATAATATAATAACCCATAAAAAAAATATTTTAAATAATTTAGTTGATTTCAGACAGTAATTCATACTTTGTTTTCCAAAAGATTTAAAAAGACTGTTGATAAATTAAGTTTTCTTTTTTAAATTAATTTATAACCATGCTTGATTCTACCATTGATTCTAAATTTGGTGGTGCAGTATATTTAGTTTTCTTCCTATTTTTCTGATTTTTTCTAAAGTACAAAAATAAAAATATATATTAGTTTGACAGTAATGAAAGCTATGAAATAATTATTTGTATTATTACTTATTTCCATAATGCTGCAAGAAACTCTTTGACATATTATGAATTTCTTTACAGTGAACATTTCGTTCTTCGGAATTCCAAAACTGTGTTTGACATGTTACAATGAAACATTTGAACTGGAATTTTATAAAAACAAAAATCAAAATATTTTAATTAAATATTAATACTTTCTAGCAATACCATTGGTTTTTTAACAGAGGAGACTTTAAAAAAGTTATCGTGTGTTTCGCTCAAATGTAAATCCAAGAGATGTGCAGATTGTAATAGTTTACGACAGTAAATACAAGTGTAACGATGATTTGAATTATAATGTGAATCGTAATCAGCCATTGATGTGAAACTTGCAGTACAACCATCCACATTGCATTGAAAATTATCAGTGCATCTGAAAGTTATTTTAGTCATTCCCAAATTTAAAATTCTATTCAATAGAATAAATTTGTTTACCTTAGTTCATCGGATTGATCAGTAATTTCAAAAACTCCTACTCGTCTATAAACTTTTAAGGAATCGTCGACTGTTTTGAAGAGATCATCTTCTACACTCTTATGCCCTGTGCCACGAGCAAGTAAAAGTTGAAGTTTCTCCATGCTCATCATAATTTATATGATTAGAAGTAAAGCGTTATTCAGTATTCTACTTAGTTCTTATAAGTTATATTATTAATTGTTAGAAAATACAAATTGCAAAAATTGAAAACCGGTGTTTATTTTCATAGCATAAACAATATTATCACGGTTATCGGGTTATCTACAACTGAGTGCTATAGTTGATAACACAGAACAATTTTTTAATTTTCCAGAAACTTCGATTTTTTTCGGAAATGTATTGTTTTAATATTCTCTGATTTTTCCACTTCTCCGAGGCTCTGGGAAAAAAACGGGTTTTTTCTGAAATTTTCCCGAATGTTTACGGCATTTTGATCCCTAGCAGAAACCACCAACTTACGGCCTACGGCCTACGGGTGCCCAATCGAAATTCTGCCAAACAAACATACACGTGTTAAAAACGTAAAAAATGAAGCACCGCTCCGTTTCCCCAGCCCGCCGGCCATGTCCCGTCGATTCCTTATAGCGCGACCAATCGCGTACCTTCGCAGTGGCAGCGGTCGGTTTTAAAACGTTTTTCGTTATCACCTCTTTTCCTATCATTCGCCGATTTTTGAAATTTTCGGAAAATTAGCTGTTTTTACACGATTTCGACCCTTTTGGTCCTTTTTTATACTTAATTCGAAGCCGCCGGTGTGCGGTATATATTCGTGCGCCGTCCGAAGCGGTCAAAAAAAATACACTCCCGACCGGACTTTTTTTGCCGATTTTTTCCTTTTCTCTCACCGTTTCGTCTATTCGCACGCCGTTTGTGCCCGAATCGTGTAGTCGACGTCTTTTTAAAGCCGTTTATATGGGCTTTTCCCCCGAAATCGGTTCGTTCGCCTCGCAATCGCGTTTATAAATTATTACGCCGGCGACCCACCGACCGTACGCGTATATATACATGTATATACGTGTAAAATTTAATTTTTCCCTATGATTTAATAATTATTAACGAAAAACGCTTTTCACACGCCCCGTTAAATATATATATGGAAGATGCGCGTATTACAAGCGAATTATATGCGATTACATCGATGTACATCGAATATATCGGTTTACGTCACTCCGTAGACGCACGGCTTAACTGTTGATGTTTTGACCGTATTTCACATCTCAAACTGTGTCCAAGTAGGTTAGGCGTTAGGTAGGAAACACGTAAGTCCCAAGTTCGAAACCGTCGTGCGCTCGCCGGGCGTCGAAACCGTCATTGCCATATGGTTTGCGCGGCCGCCCGAAACTAGACTTTTTTGCATTTTTTTTTCACTATATTTTTCATATAAATTAAATAATAATATTATAATAATACAGGAACATATTTATCGTACATTATTATTATTTAAAGTCATTGTCATATTATATCACACAATAAATAGGTACACGTTATATTTGTTTCATTAGGAATTATTATAATTGCATATTTTTTAAAATTTCCATGATTGTTATATAAATATAGTTTGTATTTTATTTCGGATTGCCTACCTAGGTGGCTAACTTGAAAGTTAATTTGATTTTGACTTGAGATGAGTAGATGACTGACTTGCTAGACACTCCAACACGGTTGTCGACTTTACACTTTTTACATAAGAAAAGGCACCGGACATGCGAAGGCACATACCACTCAATGTGATATACCTACTACATGTAGGTGATAGACGGATTGCTCATTTTAGTTTCGTCTTAAACGGTGATGATTGACTTGATAGACACTTTAACATGCAGGTTTTTGCATTTTTTTTTAAATTAATATATGTATATACACTATAGGTACATGTTTATATGTATTGTATTGGTTAATATAATAGTGTGTATCTAACTATCTACCTATATGTAAATTTTTTTTAGGAATTATAATAGCACATTTCTCAGAATGTTCATTGTTATATTATATCACACAATAAATACATATCATATTTGTTTGTATGTATATTGTATATAGTTTGAATTTTTCGTAAGTTGTGTGATAGGGTTTTCACTTATAGCCGCTTGACGTCGGGTCTGCAATCCACCGCAGGTGGATTGCCTACCTGATTTGCTGTAGTACATTGTCCGCGATCCGACGAAGTCGGATTGCCTGCCTAAGTGGCTAACTTGAAAGTTAATAGATTTTAACTTGAGATGACTGACTTGCTAGAAACTCCAACACGGTTTTCGACTTTACACTTTTTACATAAGATAAGGCACCGGTCATGCTACGCCACATACCACTCTATGTGCAAGTATAGGTACTCTATATCAGTGATCTTGGAGATCGTATCCAGCCTATCCATTTACAACGTTTGTGACGGATTGCTAGACACTCAAACTTTTAACATTCCCGCCAAAGCGTCTAGCCTTATCTCCAATCCATATCACTAATCCTTATCACAAATCCTAAACTTTCGTCTTACAACCTTTGCGACTTTTATAATTCATTGTCTCCAAAATCGGTACCTACTCCCAGCGAGTCCGACGGGCCCCGAGTTACACTTAGAGCTAGTATATGTATAAAACTAACCAATGGCGATATAAATTATGACATTGTTTTTTCTTAGCTATAGTAAGTGTTTTTAAAGCTATGCGTGGCCAATGCTATAATTTTCAAACGCAAAAAGTATCACAGGACTGTATTCTTTGATGGCTCACAACCAAGTTCGGTTACCTGGTCCTACCCACCTCACCTAGAGATATTAATCCGAGCTTCGATCAGAGTCCTCTATTCCCGTACAAACCACCACCGGCCTTCGGGGGAAAACACGTTTACAAAATTGTCCACAAGCCAATCCCGACGACTCGAGCCCGCGAAAATACCTACCTACTCGAAAATGCAGGTAGCATAACCGGAAATCCATTCTCAACAAATTCCATTCCAACTCACCCACCCACCCCCCCCCCCTAAATAATAAAATAACTTTTAGGTTTATACTTGAGTGGTATAACTAAAAAATAAGAATTTAATAAATAAATGTTGTACCTATAACATAATTAAAAAATTAATATACATTCAGATTTATAAAAATAACAAACATCTTGTTGCCAAGTGTATAAGTGTTTGGAAAATCAATAATTCGTATATATATATTATAATAAATCACGAATAATTGCTAATCCGTAGTTAAAATCGAACTTTTGTAAAATATATTAATAATTATTCTGCTTACATAATCAAAATAATATATCAATATGTCAATTAATATTTCCGCTCAAGAGCAGACATCGTCAGACATCAAATCGCTATCAGACACTGAAAAGATGCATGTGATTTTTAACGAACTTAGGTCGAATAGACCAAGATCGTTAGACAGCTGCGATTTCCGTAGATTGCAGCTGCACAAAAGATTTATTTCTCTACCAAATATGGACTTGAGTAAAAATTCCACGGAAGAAGCACCTTCAAAGGACGGTTGGAAATCCGCACCCAACTTGATGTTCCCGGAGCAGCTCAAGGGAATGGATGTGCGTGAAAATTCCTCTGGCGATGTTCCAGAAATTGTATTATCGTCCGCGGAGTTGCCCGTTTCGATGGAACCGCTATCACGTGACGCATCGTCTGTTCCTGCGACATTGATGCCACCTGCCGCTGCAGAAAACGACCGTTGGATCGAGACGCCGTTGTCCGTCACGTCGCCGTTGTCCGTCTCGACGCCGTTGTCCATCTCGTCGCCGTTGCCACCGGTAGAAGCCGGAGAAACGGATACGGTAACCAGCAGTGGCCGTAGTGACGCGGGGACGGACCACCTGGCGGTAACCACGGTCGCGTCTAGGCGTTCACTTTGGAACCGGACGAAGCGGTTCGTCAGGCGTACGTTCTGCTGTGGGGCGACCGACAGCACTGATGAATAGTGTTTATAATTGTATTGTATTATTATGATATACTCTATTCCAAATAAGTATGGAAAAAATGTCCGGTTTCGAGCAGGTATGTGACGTGATCTACCGGAAGGCGTATCTCACGACGAGTAATGAATCCGTAGCCAAAAACCTAACCACAGCGCGGACCTGCATGAGCGATGTTTTCCAGACTTATTTGGAATAGAGTATAGTAATATGTACCTACAGTACGTGTTCGACCTCCGACTGAACAGCACGTGTACATCTTTCGCGACCGTGCGCTTTTATAGCTTCCGATAGCACTCCGTTAATTATGCCGGTGACCAGCGTACAGGTAATATAATCATTATTTTTATTATTATCTGACGCGGAACATTCGACGTAATGAGCGACAAAAATACAAAAGGCAAACCGCCTTTTACAAAAACATTAAACAAAAATATCACAAACACTCACTCGAAAACACCTTCTGTAAAAAACATACCCACAAGCCATATTAAACAAATTCCCATCTACTCCAAATCAAACAGTTCAAAAACAAATCCTAGTTCGAACAAGTCAAACTCAAATGTCTCTGTAGATAATATTGATACATTACCGCCACTTCCACGCTCCACTCCTACCTCTGCCAACACCGCTGCTCTCCTAATTACCGCTGCAGCTAATCAACACGATAACCACTCCAATTCTGATAACCAAAACGTTATCGTTTTCAACGACGACAACGCCCAACCCCACCCAGCATACAGCTCAGAATCACCTACCAGTTTTGCTACGATTACGGCAAACGAAAAAACTCCATCCAGGGAACAAGCAATTGTTTTCAACTCTATAGACGGTATCAGACAAATAGAATATATACTTGCAATTGGAAAACTGATCCTCCCTCGGGACATAATATTCACTTCAAGGATATCCAACAATCGTTTCTGTATTTTTTTTTCAAGCAAAGAAGTACTCGACACACTTCTTGAAAAATCCAAAACGATATCAATAAATGAACACACTATCCCTATTCGCAGATTGATTAATCCAGCCAAAAAGATCACGATATCAAATGTGTGTCCATCCATACCTAACATAATAATTCTTAACGCATTAAAAAACATCAATATATCTCCAGTCTCACAACTAAACCATATAAAAGCCGGCATCAATATTGCGGGATACGAACATATCCTGAGTTTCCGCCGCCAAAT